ATACGTTGTCCAGGGTGCACCACGAGGAGGTAAGTCCATCGCGCACCCCAGATTAGAGATATAAAAGCTGTCATCTGATTCTCCCATCATGAAGAGTGGAAGTGACAGCCAACATCGAAAGAAGAAATGCAGTATGAAAAAAATTGCAACGTTATTTTCCACTATTGCACTGCTATTTGGCTCTCAAATATCTGTGAATCACTTTAATGGTTAATTTATAACGTTATCACTCACTTTCAACTTAATCCACTGGATGAATGGAATACCGGTTGCATAACGAACGGATAGGTTGCTGTATCGCAAATATTGATGACCCTTAAAAGTAGATAACGAGCAAATAATTATTAGGCTTTATCACAATAGCGTTAATTGACTTTCTAAAACGCTGATTAACGACAGTTTTACTTAACTCAACATAGAGGAATAAAGTGTCCATTCATTGGGATTTGTGGAGTACATAAAGCTATTTCATTCGTCACAGAGTATTCTGAAATGTGCGGTGTGGGTGCGGAAACCTCTTAACCACTCGAAATCGTGTTTATGCAATGCAGGATAACATTATGTCAATGACTAATCACGCGACAAGTTTCCAAAGGTATCCAATAAACGCATTCCGCATCATATACTCTGTCCCCTGTTTACTAATTTGAGAACAATTTTGCAGTCGGGGTTTTCGCCATATGGGATTGATAGGGCTTATTTGTGTTTCGGATTGCAATATTACTAAACTTTGATTATTCTCAGTAGTCTTTGGCAAGTTCTACTTTGGAATGATTTCTAGGATTAGCTAAGGCACCGCGGAGTTATTGAGGAAAAAGACTCATGGTGTGGAACACGTATATTTGGAATGTCTATATCTGTCACAGAGCTTAGTAATTAGAATAGAACGAAGGATTTGCTAAGCCATGCAGGGATTATTGATAGGTGGTTGGCTGAGAGTGCTCTGAGCGCACGATCGCACTTGGTCCTTACGTGACAAGTAGCACGGCTGCCTCTTCGGATCTGTCTGAGTGAGCATGAGATTTCTTTGTTCAGCCATAACAGCGAGTGCGCACCACCTAGCCAATTAAACCTAAAGATCAGTCAGAATGTCGTTGATATGTGCCTACCAAAAATGTGAGAAGCAAGTAATAGCAAATGAACTTTGAGATATTTTTAAATTACTAATTGAAGTATACTGCTTTTGGAAATTTGATAACTCGCTACTTCCAGAATTAAAATAAAGAAATACTCGGTGTCGCAAGGAAAACGCACTAATCAGTTTATGGGAGATAGTAAACGACCAAATGTGGTAGTAATTCTTATGTTTATTGAAAATTTGACAGAATCGATCACCTAAAAATAATATTTAATTGAAGTGCACAGAGCTACATTCATCATTCTTATAAATATACACACATAATACATGTAAAAACTATCTTTGGTTTCACTAAAACAGATATAAATTGTCGAAGAAATTGAACACAAATTTTAATGATTTTTTTTTAAATAGCTACAGAGTAATACCAAAATGCAACAGAAGGAAGCAGATAGCAAAGGTAACAAAGAATTTTTGCTTAAGTTGATTTCTGGACACTGGTTGCATAGCCTCTACTGAATGAACGATCTACATCGCGAAATTTAACTTTCACTATCTATATCTCAATGATTGCAATTATTGTTTGTCCATGATATCTACTTCATATTGGCTAATATTCAATCATAATAATCAGTCTTACCAGATTAAATTATTTTTAATATGATGGTTAAGAATGCTAAATGACCATTCATGATACTCACTTACAGCGATTCATTTCAATTAGCCAATAAGTACTCAAATCCTAAAGTATGAGAATTAAAAGTGTATAATGAATACTTAACCATCACGTGCTGTTGAAAGCACTGAAAGCGCTTAACGAAAACCGTTGACTTTTTTATCTCCAATGCTGTATGAAGTGGTTTTTTGTTCGGCAGACGTATAAATACAATATATTGCTTGTTGTTTACTGATAATGTATGTTAGTTCAATGCAACGTTCAAAGTTAAGATTCTTATTTTAGCTTCCCTAGTAAAATTTAGTGACTACGGGGTTAATAAATTTGAAGAGGGTATTAAATGTACGCCCATCTCCTTTTGATATTGAAATAGGAAGATATAAAAAATTGCAAAGATGTGTTAAACTTTTTCTTTCAAGTGCGCCCATCATATTTGACGAAGTCTTTGGGATAAGTAATTTGGTGACAAGTAATTTACTTTTAAGGAACAAAAGCTTTTGAAGGATATTGAATTACTTACATTAAGTACTCATCAATTTATATTTAAAGTAATAAGATCATTAAAACTAACTCCCCCATGGTTAGCACAGAATGAATAGTATACATTTTGGGTCTTTTAGTCATGCTGTCTTTGTCTACTTAACTAAATTATGGGTAGCCCTCTTTATGACTATTCGATATTTTCGTCTTAGCAAATATTGGTTTGATTGTTTTGTATAAAGCAAGGAAATTATGAAACTTTCTGTGTTGGTTTCCCAAGGAATTCCTTGTGGGCTGTGTTCTAAGGACAGAATTTGATAATAAATATTTCTAGATATTCTTGCAAATGTGGTCAATATTAACCTCCTCTATATGTTGAATTGTGCTACAGAAATTGCTGTGAAATTGAATCCAAGATTCTACAAACGCTCAAATTACAAACGCTAAGGGCATTCTAGAGTCCAGTTACGAAAAAATTTTAATAAGTTTATACAAGGCAATATGGCTTGAGAACTGAAACAATTAGTTGTTCTATTTAAGCGAAGATAAATAGAATCATTGAGAAGAATCGATAATTCCTAATCTTAAGGGGGGATTCTGGTCTAGATACATGAATTTTAGGTCATTTTTGAAGTGGTGTAAAAAAGCAAGCAATATTTTTATAAACAATTTTTTATACATTGTTTATTCACCCTAGAAGCATACAAACAATAAAAAATAAAAAAATAAAAAATTCTTTAGTTGTCAGCTGATGGAATGTATCGTCTCAAAAATATGGTGCATGACCATACCCACGATTTTAACTCTCCTAGCAATCTGAAATAAAAAAAATAAAAAAGATTATCAATCTACAATAATGTCGCTATGTTCAGAACTACGGAAAAGTTTAAGATATATTTTTTTACAAAATGGCGACTGTCTAAAGAAAAAAACATTTTGTACCACTTTTTTGAACATTCTTCGATTTTTTAAAAATAGTAAAAATTAAAATTTGGGGATGGTCGTAGTTCCGGACATAGCCAAATTCCTAAAGAAGACTCTCTTAAAATTTCAAGTAAATCGGTTGGGCAGAATCTGAGAAATCGTGGGTATCAGATTCAAAAAACAGTTTTGAGAAAAACGCGTTTAAATTTTCAAGTAAAATCTTTTGCAGTCTTAGTCATAAATTATATTTTTAACTTACGTTTATTCAATATGCCATTCCTACTGCATACATTGCACCTTTCTTGACCTCGAAAAGACTATTTTCGTCGTCTCTGTTTTTTATTCGAGCAGTTCCGGCCTCCTTTGATGCGCTGGATGCTCGTATCTCGTAGTGGTCAATCCGGGCGTTGTCTTGTCTGATAGCAAATGCATGCACTTCTGGACTACTTTTCGCTCCCATAATCGTCATTATCTTCAATATCGGTATAAACCCTTCATTAAAAATACACACAGCAATAAATGTTGCAATTTTAATGACCTGAGACCCGGAATGGATATGCTTTGGAGTAAAAGTCCATATCAGCGAGTTTAGAGACTCGTTATTATTTTGAGTTTCTGAACCCAAACATAGAATCAATAACTCTTCCGATGATACACTTCGAAGGATTTGTCAACGAATGGACATGAGGGAATGTAGCGTAGACTATTGCAACTGCATTGTAAGGCAATTTTAAACCCGAGTCCGCGTTGAGCCGTTCTTGTAAGGCAATTTTAAACCCGAGTCCGCGTTGAGCCGTTCTTAAAAATCTAATCTCGTTGTTGTATGTAGTACACGAAACAAACGAAGAAATTGCAGAAAAGACCGTGAAAAACTCCAAAACACAGTAGCCGTAATTATTATCTATAATTACTTCTTCATCATTTGATTTCCTCAATTTTGCTGCTGATGCACTCGTAAAGCTGGTGTTTTCCTGTTCCGCAAATCAGTTGCCGTGCAAATATATATAAGTATATGGAAAAATATATATAGATAGGTAGATATAACAGAACAAAAGGGCTTACTAAGAAATATGGATTCAGGTAGTCGGAGAACCCATCATGTCTTTTGTTCGATTAGTTGCAGCCCACCCGATTCGGATGTCTGCTCAGCAAAATACTTTTATCTCCGAAACTAATTTGAATTTCGGAAAATCCTCTCGTAGACATTTTCGAATAGTTAAACTATGAAAATATGCAAAAGACAAAATTCAAAACTTTTTTTCTAGACCAGAATACCCTCTTAAGCAACAAATATAGGTATACGAAAAATCGTCATCTTTTCAAATCAATGTGCTATCAGTTCACGCAACATTCTTTTACCACTGAGTGAAATTCTTCAGCAAATGGAAATATTTTCATTAGGATACGGAAGAGGTGCTCTCATTTAGGATGTCTCCAATTTCCCAGTTCTCTTCGGATGGACTACAAAACCGAAAGGATCAAATGACCGACTAAACTGGGATAAATTATATTTGAATGGATAAATTTACAATTGATCTTGCAAATAAATACAGAGGCAAGTGGTTAAAGAAGAAAATATTAACAAAAATTAGCTGAAAGTTCGATTTTTCTCGCTAAATGATCAGGGTAGTTGCTTGAGCCTTTCACTGCCTTGTTTCTTCAGAAGAGTGTTTTTAGACATATCAAAGATGTCATCAAATTCATCTTCGTTAGCTGCATGGTCGGCGAAGGGAATTGGTGGATTAAGACTCGATGAAATCGATGCTGTCTTCTCCTCATGCTTTTTATGCAATTGTCGAGGCAGACCCATTAAATCCTGCAGAAGAATAAATAGTATTTATTTAGTAAATGTAAACTTTCTTGTTTAATGGCTATGATTTGAACTTATTAGTAATTAGTAGTCGAGGTCACAGTCGTAGCTAAATCAAAATGTGGGCTCCTTGCTGTTCCCAATATCTAGACATCAGCAGAGCTGATATGTGGCCTCTTTAAAGTTCAAAACAATGATTTGAAGTTAATGAACTTTACCACCATCTCTCTAACGATTAGTCTGCTCTTACCCATATCTAGTAAGTTAATGGAACTGTGGGTAAAAAGCAAATTTCCTATCATTTTCATATTTTGCTTACTAACAGGTAACTTCAGAATGTTGGTTTCAAATTTATATTGCTTACCTATCGTTATTATTACGTACAGTTTTTGAAATATTAACAATTTTAAATTGAGAGGAAGCAATAAAAATCCTGTAACAAAAAGTTAATTGTATATGAAACGATACTAATTGGTACTAACGATGCATCAAAAGGCCTTTCATTGCAAGTTTTTTTTCTGCGTTTAGATTATACAGTATTTAATTAAAGAGAAGCTCGGCCTGTAAGATTCAGATTTTATTGGCCGTCCAATCAATGGAGCATTCTTTACTCTTATGCATCTAGTGTTCATTGGTCGTTTAGCTTTTCATATCATAATAACCGAATGACTTAGTCGGTAGCTTAAAGTTGTTGTGTTAAATTCACCAGAAGAAATCGGACAGTTACTGTTGGCAACAGGGCCGAAACTTTCGAAAATAGATGCTTAGCTTCAAATTTAACAAACATGAAATTTACATATTACATATTACAATTTACATATTATTGTCTAACTTGTGGGAAAGCGAAAGGATCTCAAGCATTACCAAGTAACCTGACACGAACTTCACTGTAAGGAGCTTGGAAGCAAAAATGAAAATTGGCATAATCTATTAGATTACGTATAATAATTGACTCAATATTCGAATGAAATTATGAATGATTTGACCCAAAACTTTGCGACATTTTAAAGATGAACTATCATAACTTATCATAATAAAGTTAATAAATGTAATATTTTGGCATGATGTGAAGTAAAATGACAAAACTTAAATTAACCGGATATTATTGGTCTTTTTTAATTTAACATTGAACTCGTTCTGTACCTATCTTAAATTTACGCTCAGGTGGGTTGTCATGCTAGTTGATAGTTGGTGATTCACTGAAAAATCTACGAATATGTAAATAATTAAATATTTATTTTTCAAATGAAATACAACTTTTTGATGTAGTTATTACGCTTAAATGTAATCTCATGACCATATGATTGAAAACAAATTCATGTAAACTTGTCTAATTATAAGCGCGTTTGATATTTATCTACCCTGGAGTGTGCGATAGACTTACCTCCACGTGGTGTACCCTGGACAACGTATGCCCATGTGGCAAAAAAGTCTATTAACCGGCAGTTGACTTCTGACTTCAAACTACCATGACCCCACTGTATATCATATTCGACATCTATCACAGTACTCACCTCACCTTTTTTCTACTTTTGTGTCTGCCTCTTTTACGTAAGTAAATCATTATTCTGTCCCCCTTCTCGACTTTTTTCCCCTTAATGTTCCTTTTCCTCTGTGAAGCCTGAAGTCAACTAAAGAGCTAATGATAACCATCAAAACGCCTGCCATTTAATATAAGTAAATATTTATCTACCTCAACCAATCAAAATCAGTATACC